TGGTTGTCATGACAATCATCAATTCTAATCCCTGAGTGCAATGTAATAGTCCCAAGACCCCTCAAATAATAGAAGAGATGTCTGAATGCAACTTTAATATATGGTACATTTTATGTAATATAATGTAAACTTTATTGTATCCTCAAGTTTTATTTTTCATTATATACCCAGTACTAAGAGAGATGATACTTATTGTAAAAAAGCTCATGTTATTACATCTAGTAGTAATTGGTTTATCTAATTATTTCACAGGCCGATAACTCACAAGTTGCATGGGCCACCCCAGCAGAGACGCCAACCAAATTTGATGTTGAATCCGGGAACCGAGAAAACCTGCCACCAGTAATATCACGATCTACATCGATAGCCACAAGTGTACTAAATCCGTCCAAGTCACCAAGACCACCTCCACAACAACAGACACAATCCAATTTACATTTACAAAAACTTCAAGAAGGTAAATTGTAAATTATAATCAGGCATATTTTCGCTTACGAATGAGTATGAGTACATGTATATCACAAGAACCTGTGTGTGTTGTTCACTCATATATAGATAGCATAAAAAACAACGATCATACTTGTTTTCTACACCAGTTATGCCAGATTCCTAGAATAACTAATCAATTTTGTACAGACAGGTGAAATTCTTTTTGTGTTTGCAGCGACTTGCTTACCCAAGCAGTTACTTGAAACTAAGTATATTTGTTCTTCATTTCTACTTCAGATTCGTTTGCCAACAGTAATGCCAACTTTTCATTGAGGAAAAATCGAACGCCGCTTATCAGATCCAGAGTACCTGCCAACACAACCATTACTCGGCATTCCCATCCACCTTTTGATGGTGATAAAAGTAAGCATAACAATTGTATACGCTGTACTCAAATTATGGACTAGAATTCTTTGCTCTTCACTGTTGTTAGAAATTTTCTCTGTATACTATTCAACTGCTGTTAAAGACATAAGAATTTTTAAAATGAGATCGCTTTGTTGATTGTTTGATATGTTCATCACCAGTAGAGAAAATGTTAGTTGACGAGAAATTTTAAAGCTAGTAGTTGTGTGTAAAGTCAGGTTGTCCATCAACATATGTTCGTTGCATCATCTTTTGAAAAGTTATTTGGTTTTAAACTTTTATAAGATTCTTAATAAACTTTACTGTTCTGTTCATGTAACACTACCCAATAGGTGGTTAGATGATTTGTAACAATTGTTTTTAATTTGTAAATGTTCATTAATTATTTATAACTAGATTTTATAATGGAATGAGTTTCTGTTTTTATATGTGTGAAAGCTAGATTAAACTGCTTTGTTCATACTTTCAAATGATTCATACCAGTAGAATACAGAAAAATGATATTGTCAGTGTTGACTACACAGGCCACATTTGAACCAACTGTTTTTTGATATTTTCTGGCCGAAAAAAATTGTTTCTGTTTCTGAGATGTTCAAACAGATGGTGTGGTGATGTACCTTTTAGTCCTCATCAGATGTGTTCCGGGACTTATGTTCCATTTATCATTCTTATATAGTGATTTTGTTCAAAGACACATTGATTTGTTTTTTCATTAATCATAATGAACATTTGAATTTAACTTGCTGATGACCGTTTTGACCCCCCCCCAAAAACATGTTTTGTTTTGTGATAGATTTTATTAAAAAAGGCCATTTCTATAATAATAACGACTAATAATTTTGTTTTGTAGATACTGAAGCTGAGAACTCCACATTACATACATCACGATCTAGAACAGTGCTAGATACCTCGCCAAGACCCAAAGTGCCAAGACTTGCAGGTCTGAATGTTAATAGAATACGCAATGCCAAATTAATTGCTGAGAGAGCTATTAAGGTAGGCAGTATAGCAAAATTAATGACTTCCTGCCGATTTGATATCTTCCTTATAATTAAATGAAACATCTTCTTCCTGCATCTGCAAATTTTAATGAATATCTGTTAATTTTGATTAATGAGCATTGGCCTATACCTTTGCTTCATAAATATTTTGTATATTTACCATGATAACATTTATTTGGATTACAGAGTAAGAAAGTATTTTCTATTCATGGGCCTTACCCTGTTGTACGGGAATGTTTAAGGAAGAGAGGATGGGTTGAAAAACAGTACAGATATTTGGCACCACATGTATTTAAAAATAAAAGTAAAGACAGCGATGATAGTGGAGACAGTGATGACTCCGATAATGATGATGGTGATGGTAAGTATAACCCATCACCCCTTGAATATAATGGTATCTTCTAATATCTGGTGTGCAAATTGGACATACTGTATGATACACCTGTCGGTGCTACAGGCAGTAAATCACTCACAAATGGTAATTTCCTGAGTATCTGAAGACTGCTTAAACATGTCTGTCTGTAGTATTGGCATTGCTACTATAGTGTGGAAAATGATTACCAAGATAAATTGTCAAATAAATAAATTGTGAATTTAAATCATTGATATACATGTAGATCTTGATTTGCACCTGTTAAATCAGCAATGTTGACATGCATATCCATGTGATGTATTTACAATGTAATACATCAATGATTTAAAGTGGATTTCTTAAGGTAGCAACACGGGTAAAACAAATTAACCTTTTCACCACCATACATGTCCATGTCCATGTCAATTTCTTTCATAATCAGATGGATGCCCGACAGCCTTCTTGTTTTTTTTGAAAATGTGGTATTTTCGACATGCTTTGTCGGTTTTTGTGCAAATTTGGTACATACATAAATCATTACACATGTTGAGATACATGTTCATGATGATCCATTTCGCAAACTTGCAGCCATCTTGTTTTTTGAAAATGTATAATTTTTGTATTATTTAAGTCTGTACCGGTATTAACTGTAGGAATATATTTCAAAGGTTATATTAAATTTTCATAGTCAAAAAATCAAAATTACGTATATGATTTAGCATGTAGCAGTACATGTCCATAACAATTCAATTTGTGATCAGATATAAAAGACGACAGACTTTCAGTCATTTTGTTTTTTTACTTCATTTTGGCCATATCTCAGGCATGAATAACGTTTCCCCTAATTGAAACAATGACTTGTACTTCGTTTTTCATTAGAAATAATGTTTATTAAAGTTGCTTTTATTTTAACCCATACATTTCTTCATTGCCATGCAACGTGTCTATTTTAACATTATTACTGTGTAGCTAACCCTGAGAGCATAGTTATTTATGTTGATGGACTTGATCCAAAACAATTTTCCACAATCACATTTAAACCATTCTCAGTTTAACTGTCAATACCCATGTGTTTTGGTATGTTTTTGTCTTAGTGACAATTGTGTTTGCCAATCTCAATTTGCTGAATTTATGGGTAATTTATCAATCCACTCATCCATTAAATTCAGTGTTCACTTTGCATACCAATAAAGTTAACAAATGTACTTACTATAGCATAGATGTTCTCATAATTACATCCACTAAATTCAGTGTTCACTTTGCATACCAATAAAGTTAACAAATGTACTTACTATAGCATAGATGTTCTCATAATTACATCCACTAAATTCAGTGTTCACTTTGCATACCAATAAAGTTAACAAATGTACTTACTATAGCATAGATGTTCTCATAATGACATCCACTAAATTCAGTGTTCACTTTGCATACCAATAAAGTTAACAAATGTACTTACTATAGCATAGATGTTCTCATAATTACATCCACTAAATTCAGTGTTCACTTTGCATACCAATAAAGTTAACAAATGTACTTACTATAGCATAGATGTTCTCATAATTACATCTAAGTTCAAATTAACTTATGTTTTAACTACCATAATTATTTAGTGTTCATAGCTATTCTTAGAAGATAATTTTAGACCCTGGAAATCAGCTTGAATAAATACTCTGTTTACTGTTGTCAATAAAACATCATTGTTATTAGTCTTGTCCGAACACAGTCCAAAAACAAGACTTACGGATTGACCTCAGATGTGTGTCATGCCCATCTCTCACATTCAAACTTCACACATATGTAAATGATTCACACATATTTGATGATCTGATTTAAGATGGCCGAATGGTGGCCATTTTAATGTCAAATTTCATCAATAGAAGGGAAAATACTTACTCTCATATAATATGTTTTGATTCAAAATGACCAACTTATTTCAGTTTTGTTTACTATTAAACTGATGGGAAATATGGCTTGTTTAACAGATAACAAAGATGATGATAGTGATGATGATTTCGCTGGTCATCAAGAGGAAAATCTAGAAGAAAGTGACAGCATATATGGTCTCATGGTAAGTGATTTCAACTTTCTACAGTTTGGAAAAACATTTCAATTACACTTAGTAATTTTGTCTTACATTGAGATTGTCTCTCTTACAAATTGAATTGTTTAATAAATCTTATATTGAAGCCATCACAATATTTGCAGTTTTGAGAATGCATTTGAACATGAACATAAATAGACATTGATAAAACAATTTCATGTATATGGGGAAGTTGAGGGGAAATTGAAAATGATGTAGCATATATATGTGACTTTATATAACACACATGCTTTAGTTGACATATCTGAATATTGTGTAGAACCATCAACATATTAAGATATTGACCCATTTTGTGATACTAATCCATGATGTCAAAAGTTCAATCTGCTCGCATGGACCAATCAGATTGCCAGAATTGTTATTACATAGTAAGAAATATAGAAAATTGCTTTATTACACTGAACCATTACACTCACCATTTTCTGCTTCATGATTCCCACGGATAACCAAAATGAATGGGAAGACACCAGCAGGCAATTGTGTAGGTACAAGGCAATGTGTTACTGCATTTCTAGCCAATTCAGGCATACTGGGTTACAGTGTACACTATTTATTTTTGCTGTCCTGGCATATTGCCAAAAAACAGTGAAGTCTTTAAATGAAGTAGATGCTCAAAAACATATTAGCTCTCAGAATAACCCACCTCAGTTCTGTTTCCATATTAGGGCATAAATAAATATTCATTAGCATATACTTAGCATATATTAAAAGGACAATTTTGAAAAATATTTGTTTTTTACACATGCTATTTAACTTGTAGACTCACTAATTAATTCATTCTATTGTGATATTTATAGACCTATTTTACACAGTAAATGACAATTTTACACAGTAAATGACAATCGACATACATGTAAAGCCTAATTATACTAGATATATATTTTTCATTTCTTGTATTCATTTTTGTTGATATATATCACTACAGTCATGATCACTTTCTGTTCATTAATCAAATGCCATTCCTTCACATGTTTTTCCTTCACAATTGGCTGTCTTCCCAATATTTATTCTTTCAGTCAAGGCTGGTACGCAATGCCACACCCACTTTCATCTGGACAGTGAGAAGAGATTCCATAGATTATAAATACCTCAGGAGAGACACAATTGTCAATCATTATGCAAAGAATGGTTCATTTACAACTAAGGTAAGATTTGTCAATACATTGTCACAACTATGATTGCAGCCATGCCACTGTTGCCACCTGCGGACATGCCACTGTTGTCACTTGCAGGCATGCCACTGTTGCCACCTGCAGGCATGCTACTGTTGCCACCTGCAGACATGCTACTGTTGCCACCTGCAGACATGCCACTGTTGCCACCTGCATACATGCCACTGTTGCCACCTGCAGACATGCCACTGTTGCCACCTGCATACATGCCACTGTTGCCACCTGCAGGCATGCCACTGTTGCC